TTCTTACCAGGATTAGATTTATAGAGGTTGAATTGCGTGTTTACATTCTAGGGGGTTTCATGCTGTATTTGAGTGTGTGTGTGTGTGTGTGTGTGTGTGTGTGTGTGTGTGTGTGTGTGTGTGTGTTTGTGTTTGTGTGTACAGAGGTGATAAGCCTTGTTAATATTTGAACTGAGTTCTTTATTTATTTTGTTCTGTTAAACAAAGTACATAGCTATGATGTCTACAAGCCTCTGACTGCAACTGACCTTTTTTATTTGACTAATCAAAGAAAAAAACAACAGGTCTGGTTGGTTCCTCTTAAATGCTAAGATTGTTATTGAGTTACTCTTCAGTCTTACCTTTGATTTTTGACATGAGCAGAGACATTACATAAGTTTCAGTGGTCAAGCAAACAGCAGTAGTCTAGCCCGACACAAAGGTGAAACCAGAAGTGAAGAGGACATTGTGCAGGAGTTTTCTCTTCTCTTCCATGTCCATATTTACTCTTATGCACCTGGTGTAATAAACTAAATGCGCATATGTGCTTTTACATTATACACACAAGAAGTCAAACAATCAACACATACCAACCAGCTTCACTGATTCCATCTGTGTTTTTGACAAGCTCTTCAAAGGGCATGCATGGAGCAGATGTGGCCTAACTCCTTGGGGTTGCCTATGTGGCAATAAAGAACATTTACAGACATATTTGAAGTTGTTCTTCTTTTGTTTTGAGCAAGTCAAATGGAAACAAACAACATTGTTATAATGCAGGTATGCATTCATTCACTTCATTATAATCATCGTCATATTTCCTCATTCATGAGCTGCTTGTTTCTCCTTTGTCTCTATAAATACCTCACAGCCAGTGCAGCATTGTTCTATAATGTTGCCTAACTCTCAGGCCTTCTAGCTGTGGAAGAATGAAGCGCAGAATTCTTTGTTGAGTTGACAGAACAAAGGCGTGCCATTAAAAGAAAAAACAGCGGGATGTTGAGGGATGTTTCTCACAAATCTAAACCACAATATGGAAATGTATTGTTATTTTCAGAAGAGGTCAATAAACAGGATTCTTCTTCTAAAGGTCACCATATGTGTCTTTAAATGTAAGACTCAGTGTGTGTGTGTGTGTGTGTGTGTGTGTGTGTGTGTGTGTGTGTGTGTGTGTGTGTGTGTGTGTGTGTGTGTGTGTGTGTGTGTGTGTGTGACTCTGGTACAGTCAGAGAGCGTGCAGCATCAGTAGAGTTTAACATGACAGACTTGGTTTCACACTAATTATTTCTAAGTGAGAGAAGTTGTTGTTGTTGTGAAATCATTTCACATTAGATATATCAACTTAACCGTATAAGGCAATAATAATGGCAGCTTGGGTTTGAGGCAAAATTCTTAATTGATTTGACAATTAGCCTGACCTTACCCTAACCCAAAGCTGGAATGGCTGTTTAAGTCTGATGAGTTTAAGCTGGCTCATTTTGTCTCACAAGCTTGTAAAAAAAGACAAGATAGTCTGTTTAATCCGTGTTTGATTTGTTGTCGTTCTTGTCTTCTGTTTCATGACAATCAATGGACTCATTAAGCATTCTCTGAACGTTCAAATTCCATGGTGTCATGTTAGTCCATGCAGGCTGGGCTTATAAATGTTTGTATGACACAATAATAAAATCAAACTTCAAACTAAAACTTCAAACTAATAAAGAAAAAACTGAGATCAAAATTTAGAAGTCTTGGGAGCTGGTTTAGCTCAGTGGGTAGAGCAGATTGCCTCGTGTACAGAGGATTCAGTCCTCGTTGCTCTGGTGCAGTTCAAAGAGGAGACATGCTAAAAAAATTATCTTCTGGTGACAAGACTTTTGAGGCAATGTGTTAGTTAGCTGCTCAAGCCAACAAAATTCAGAGAGAGAAGTCCTCTCTGTCGTCCAGCTGTTTGTTAAAAAACAAGTTTTCATTCTCTATACAATCCTGCCAGCATATAGGAGATGTTGAAATTAACACCTCGGCAGAAATGGGATAGCTAGGTCTTCTCCAGTTTCCATTGTTTTGGTCCAGTTTAATACGTCACATCCTCTAGCTTATTTTCTACATGAGCTGAGTGTCTGTATGCAGCTTTTCAAACAAAGCAATACTTCACTTCACAAAAATGTATCATTTAGAAAGTCTGCAGAAAGGGAGATAAGATATGACTCCTTTGTAGATTGTATAGCAGTCATAAATGACTCAAAGGCAAAAGATAAAAGCTAATATCACATTTAAAACTTCCTCTTTTCCTGAAAAAGGAAGCGCTTCCGTATACTGATTTTTCCTTCAACAATAAGTAATGAATTGCTCTGCGCTCAGACACTTTCAACGTGTTCAGATACAAAATGAGTGTTTAATATGAAGGTGTGTAACCTTAGATAAAGGTGAAGGTTTTGAACCATGATTAGCATGAAAGAAACTCACTCTGTTTGTGTGTTTTTTGTGGAAAACATGAAGGTGTGTTGTTAAATTACAATTCTCAAGTGTCTTTATGGCTACTGAATATATGAATCATGTGTTGTGGTTAAGAGGATTCTAGATCATCTGCTTTTTTTTCTTCCTCCTTCCTTAAAGTATCATCTTCTGGGAACAACTGGTTTGGCATGTGTTAAGAAATATCAAATGTTCCCATCTAATTATATGTGTTGCATTGTAAGGGTGTGTCTTATACTTTCAATATAAAGGGTGTGAAACAAGAAGAGTTCTGGGAATAAGTGTGAACTTTTCCTGGGGGTTTTATCTGTCAATTGATTTATTAATCTCATAAATGCTTGTCATTAAAACTTAATGAAACATAACATTAAGCATGGCTTGGAAAGGTACCAAAATGTAGAAAATGATGCAAAACCTCACCTGAACTCTGCATGGTCCAAGCAAGTTTCAGAGGGTTTATAAATGCGTTTCAGGCCTTGTTGTATCTCTCTGAGGTTTTGTGTGATTTCTTAACTTTGTAGATAAGTGTCTCCTGGATTACCAAAGCACCTGTTTTTATGATGCGTTCTTAAAACAGAAACATGACTATATGTGGTGTAAAGAAATAACATGAAAACATTATAATTACAGCCAGACATACTATAATACTTGGATTTAGGGAAGGACTATTATGTCAATATTTGTAGATGGCATTGTTGGCTCGGTCACACAGCAACCGTCCAGCTTAAACAGCCCACAGAGGATTTGGTTATAGAAAGGATGTGTTGTCATTGATAAGTCACACGCATTATTATCTCAGCATCACAGGGCTGTTATAAAGGCCGTCAGGTTTGATGTAACATGTGATAAATTGTCACATAAGACCAGAATTCTATCTATAACTGTAATTTAGATAAAGTGTTCAGATTGATGTTTTGTTATATCTTTTGTTTTTGCCCCATAATTTCAACTCTGTCGAGACAAGTAGCAGGAGAGTTCGAAAAAAGCTCTGACATTTTTTATTTATTTATAATGTCTTACCGAGAGTTAGATGATTTCTGTTTAACACAGAGATAAAGGGGCCAAGTGGCTAAGCTATCTTAGCATAGAGTTTAAAATCAAAAGTACATTAACAGCTAGCCACAGTCAACAATGATGCCACAATACAATAAAATAGTATAAATATGATAAGTTATCAAATAAATAAAGAGAAAAAACTATTGAATATGAAGAACTTATTTATTTAAAAAGGATTAGCTTAGCAAGACTGGACTAAAAGGCTATATTGTTTGCGTAAAAATTTGAAGGAAGTCACTTGGTATGTGTCCTTTTGTCACTCATGCTGAAATCGAACAATGAAGAAATGCCCCAAAGCTGTTTTTGTGTGGTAAGATGCATACAGAACCCAGAAATCATTCTAACAAGCATCTGAACAGGAAACTGAGTATTTAAGGTGACAAAAATTAAATTAAAGGCCTATATGCAATGAGAATTAACTCTGGCGTCCTGACCTTAATGTTGCAAGACAATCTATACAAGTTAAGAAAACATATGCAAGGCCTTGTTCCGATTTTTGTTTTGCTGAAATTGTTAACCAATCATTTCTCTTATGTTCAAACTTCTTCTATCGGCAGAAAGCCAGCACACATCTTTAAAAAAAAAAAACACCTGTTGTAAGACCTCATTTGACATGTCTTACTACATGTTGACTATTTATAGGTGCCTTGAAGTCAGAAACTGAAGACTTGGGTATTTTAACTGGTTTGTTGAGTTTCAACTAAGAGCAGCATAAAAGTGTAGCTTAAAAGATAAAAAACAAATGCTAAAAAACTTTTTATTTCATGTTTGCAGTTATTTGTTGCGTTATTTTTGTATTAAATTTGAATTGCTGTATAGAAGGTCTAAGCAAAAAAAAAAAACTTCTTACATTTATTAGACAAATGTATTGGCGTAAAATGGTCCATTAATAAGTAGACCATCAATGAAATGTAGCGGGGTAGAAGTAAGAAGTAGCAGGAAATGAGCTTCTCAAGCTACACCAATCTGCACGCTTCAGTCCTCCTGGATATATGCACACTTCACATCATTTCTTATTTGCATCCTGATAAACATACCCTGTCAACATCTAAAACATGATCCAAATAAATGGTCTGCAACCTAAAATAGAACGCCAAATTGCAAGGAGAAAGTCCATCAACACTAGTATATGACATCCGCCCCTGATTCGCCCACTGCATCAGCTGTAATGGGAAAGATTTCGATCAATGCTACACGGCTGCCATCTGGCGGTGGGGCTACACTACTACATTATAAAATTAAATAAAATCTAAATTGATGATTCTAAAAAAAAAAAAAAAAAAAAAAAAAAAAAAGATTTAATCACTCTCTATTATTCTGCGATGACCTTTTAATTACGCAACCGGAATCGCACAATATTGTGTGTGTGTGTGTGTGTGTGTGTGTGTGTGTGTGTGTGTGTGTGTGTGTGTGTGTGTGTGTGTGTTTTGTTTAATCTCAATCCACAAGTGCGCCTGTCCCTTTAAGAAGCTGGACACGACGCTCAGCGCCCAATCGCGGCGGGTAAACTGAACACTGTTGTTGTCAGCAAGTAGCAGCTAAGCTAATTTTAAGATATCGTCAGCCGGCGAGCAGAGAGGTGAAACACAGTAAGGATTACAACAGTCAAAGGTCTTCCTCACCGGCTCCGGTTTAAAGTCTACAATGGTGAGTGTAAGTAACCTGTTAGCTGTGAGAGATGTCCCGTTTCTTGTGTCTCAAAAGCTGAAGTTGGGTGTTAAAGTCATGTTAGGCTCTGCTTGATGGTAACCTACAGCTACCTAGTGGGTGACATTATTATTGGTAAAGTGGCATGCTGTGAGTGGGACAAAAAGATAAACCATGTCAGAAATGTTACAGTGTTTGTCCAGAAATCTTCATCAGACTGTAAAGGGGATGTTTACCTTTGTATTTTGTTTTCTACTTAGTTGTGTCACACGATGTAAAAAAAAAAAATACATTATTTTTTTTGCTTTGTTCACTTGTGTTTAAACAAAGATGATTGAGTCTTGAAGTTATTACTGGTTGTTAAACATTAATAAAAGGCATCACTGTGATACAGGATGATGATCCATAAAACTGTCATGCTGCTGAATAGTGAAGTGAAGTGTTGTTGCCTGTTTTAAGGTTCCTAATTTGTTTTCTTTTGATGGTCTTAGTTGACTGCATTTTCAATCATCTATGACAGGGAGGGGCAACTTCGTTCACAGCAAGGGCCACATTCATTTAATTCTCACTGCCAGGGGGCCAAATTGTAGCATATTAAAAAACGATTACAGACAATTATGTCTCAAATTTAACTCAACATATTTCAGTGAAATATTATTATGGACATATTTCTGGTTTTCATGATTTCATGGCAGATTTTGTCATGTTTTCTTCATGTTTCCAATTAATCGATATGTAAAAATTGACCTGAGGGCCACGTTGAGGGTTGATGGGGGCTGCATGTGGCCCCCGGGAAGCCAGTTGCCCACCCCTGATCTATGAACTGATATACTCTTCCTGCTACCTTTACAAGTCTGATGCAAAGATTGAAAAACTAAAATATATTCGGTGAATTGATAAAAAAATGAGAAGTCTGTCTGTGTAACAAAGCCTATGAAATATAACTGAATGCGAACCAGTTAATTAAAAAGATTAAAATTTCATCTATTTGTGGAACTACTCTATAATTAATTGATTAAACTGATATAACTCAACTATTGTTCGGCTTTTACATCACCCTGTTTTATGAACAGCTTATAATTATAGGCTATCATTTATAATATTTGGCCATAACGCCAATCTCCAACATTCATCCTATTGATACCTTACCAATAGCTGTTTTAATGAATATCAATCAAGATATTTAAAATAATTTAACCTTCAAATATAAAATAATAAAAAGTATGTAATGTTTTGCAGAGATCGGACCTCTCCCTTTTGAAAAATAGGAATTTAATATACATTTTAATGGTTGCCCTTCGTGTATTAGCCAATATTTACAGTCTATGGCAGGGATGGGCAACTTTAGTCACAGCAAGGGCCACATTCATTTAATTCTCACTGCCAGGGGGGCCAAATTGTAGGATACAAAAACGATTACAGTCAATAATGTCTCAAATTTAACTCAACATATACCAGTGATCAAATATTATTATGGACATATTTCTGGTTTTCATGATTTCAATGCAGATTTTGTCATGTTTCCAATTAATCGACCTGAGGGCCATGTTGAGGGTTGATGGGGGCCGCCAGTTGCCCACCCCTGGTCTAAGGTATTAGTTTGCACTTAGCAGGGGGGTCTAATCCCACCATGATCCCATCTAGTCTTAGGTCTACAGAAAAGTATATATCAACATGGAACCAACTTCGTTACGACAAAGTGTTCTTTATTTACACAAATATTATATATAAAATGGAATAGTTTTAGAAGTACAAAACTTAAAACGGGTCAGACAATCATTTAGCACGACAAATAACTTTTTCCTCAATTGTTCTCATGTTAACTCTCGACGCCATATTTGTCAAAGTGTCTCATTATAATGCCCAGCTCCAGCTTCACAGTTCCCATGGCTTCGGTGTGCAGTCTGTATCTGTCCGCCCCGCTGTACACGAGATCCGGGCTCCGTAACTGAGGACCTCCGCCGACAAACATTTGCGACAACTGCTCTTGCCAAGACCCGAGCGGCCTCCAGGTCACACAGTTCATCCGGTGATGTCCGGGGCTAGACGGGATGTGGCAGTAGCCGTAACCGTACATTTGGCAGCGACCGAAAGAGTCCTGGTGCCACACTTGCAGGTGAAGCTTTGGCCAGCCCTGGAGTCCTTTGGTCGCGAAGTGCAGATCAATGGGGTGACTCCAGTACGCCATGTCTCCTGTTTGGGGAATATCCACTTGGGTCTGACCCTCCTTCAGCCCGGAGAGGAGACGCCATGCTCCTCCTGTGTGAACTCCCCATTTGCAGAAAAGGCTGTTCTGTGGGAAACCAGTTGCCCCTACGATCTGGCCAATAATGTGCAGCTCGGCCATGTCATAAACGCGTCCTTACACAAAAACATGCGGCGGACAAACAAGGTGTACTCTTCTAGTCTTCAGTATTTGAAAAGACTAGCTGCTAGCAGTTGCTAACACCTCCGCCTGCGTCTCCTTGGTAACTCCCTGCGTTACTATGGGTTAACATATCACCCTGAGCATAGTCTCTCAGGCAGCATTTCCTTCCTGTCGGGATGTTCACAGAATTTGCATCATTAGGTAGAATGTATATACCAAAACCTTAAATTATGCCAGACTGGTGCTTGTCTTCACAGCAACACCTCTTCAAATGAGCTAATTATATTAGAAAATACATTGTAACCATGCGACAAATTACAAACTGTTGCCTGGCAGGCAAAACGCAGGGGGTTCAATGACATCAATTGCGTTTGACGTGCTTCCTCCTGTGGCGTGATTTGGAAAGTGAGGATGCTTTTATTCAGCAAAACTTGAGCCCCCCCCCCTTTTCTCTGAATACGAGTAGGCTACACTCCGCGGCTTTAGTGCTTCAAACTCAAACCAGTGATTTTCATAAAATTAGGGTTCAAAAAGAGTACAAGAATACTGTACTCAATTAAAAGTACATTTACATTTACTGTGAGTACAATTTAGTATAGGTAAAATTACTGGCCCATGAATCTAGAATGAAAAAGTAATTAATAAAAATAAAAAAAAATCCTATTTAAAGAATTGAGGACTGGAGTACTTTCATTCCGAAGGAGGTGGGGGTGAAAAATATAATATGATCTCCTTCCTGTGCAGTGCAAAAATGACAAATATATGGGGATTAATATATATATAAATTTAGACGGGACTCTTAATTTAGATATTCATATATTAATGTTGTATGGGGCTTACACTGCATGATAAAGCTGTTGTTTCTGATGCACTTGAAGCTGAACTGGCCTCCTAAATTTGGCCAGGGATTCACTTCATTTTCCTCTGGTTCCTCCCCAAGATAACCACGCTTTTAGCTGGGTCCAAGTTTAAGTCTTACTCAACTATCTTCCGATTTGTACAGAGCCCAGGAGGTGACATGGAGATATAAAAATACTTTCTTTTTTTTATGCGCACGCCTTTCAGATTTCCATTTAGATTTCAAACTAACTTATTTGTTTTGACTGATGAATTTCAATAACACTTTGTTGCAATCTTATCCTTTTTTTTTACTCACTGTACTGGTACTGTACAAACATTCTACTGGACTTGCCTTATTTCGTTTCTTACTACTATTTAAACCAGTTTATACATTATACCTATTTATACTGCACACCTCATATTTATATGTTTCATTATGTTTCATTATGTTTGAACACTGTTGGAGGGAGCGTAAGAACTAAAATCTTACAATACTTGTTGTCACTGTAATCGTTGAGCATACAAAAATAAGAGGTTGAACTTCATATTCTTTAAATAAGAAACAAGTTTTCATAGGCTTAAATATGTGGCAGCTGCTCTACATCTTTTGTGTCTTCCCCCATTCAGTCCGATCCAACTCTAGAGAGGCATTTTAAGGGCCACAGGGAGACTGTGACGAGTGTGGACTTAAGCTGCAACATGAAACAGATCGGTAACTTAAACTTTATATCTTCATATGTATTTGTGTTTCTCTGTTTTTCTTCCTATCACCAGTTTACTGATTTCTTTTTATTTTATTGTCTATGTTTCTTGGGATCATACACAGTGTTTCTGATTGACTCACCTCTGCGTCCTCCTCTTCCAGCCACAGGCTCGATGGACTCCTGTGTGATGATCTGGAACATGAAGCCTCAGATGCGAGCGTATCGTTTTGATGGACACAAAGATGCTGTCATGTCCATTCAGTTTTCTCCCTCAGGTCACCTAGTGGCCTCTGCCTCCAGAGACAAGACTGTACGTCTATGGGTTCCTAGCATGTGAGTTCTGTTATGTCATTATTATTGTTTTCAATTAGAAAATTTGCACAAAAGACAGTGACAGTGACTCATAAAAATAACAAAAGCACACATTTCTCAACACCCACTGTTTTTTTGTGGTTTGTTTTTTTCACTGTATTGTTGTCTTGGTGTGTGTGTGTGTGTCTGTGTCTTTCTACAGGAAGGCTGAGTCAACAGCTTTCAGGGCTCACACTGCCACTGTGCGCAGCGTTAACTTTTCTGGCGATGGACAGACTCTGGTCACAGCCTCTGATGACAAGACCATCAAAGTGTGGACAGTTCACAGGCAGAAGTTCCTCTTCTCTCTCAACCAGCACATCAACTGGGTCCGCTGTGCCAAGTACGAGAAAACATACAAAGGCGCACTAAGCCGTTTTCACATGTGCACTCCTGATAGTTTCCATAAAATGCCCCTGAAATCTTAGTTGTTTGTTCACACATGCACCTCATAATGGGAGACTATCCCCATTGGATGGGAGGGATGGGGGTCAACAGAAAAAAACTACGAGTCAGTTTCATAAATTAACTAGACTGCACAGGTCGCAGGATATAAATGTCATCACACCCGCCTGCTCGCTCACAGTGAATTTTCTAGAATATTTCCTGCTGCTATCCTCACATCGGCTCACCTTTACTTCTTCTGGAAAAATTGTAAGACGGGGTGGCAGGAGAAATTTGGCAGGAGGAGATTGAAAAATATTCATCTGTTTGTGTTCACACATGCAGCTCTCCCTGATAATTTCAGGAAGCTTTCAGGAGTTTTGTGCACATGTGAATAGGGCCATTGATGCTTTTGATGCTGCAGATATTTCTACTTATTGCTCTTTGTTTTACTATTTCTAAGTACACCTTTTTATATATTTCTGAATACACTTTTCATACATTTCTTGCAGGTTTTCTCCTGATGATCGTTTGATTGTGTCGTCCAGTGATGATAAGACTATAAAGCTGTGGGACAAGAATAGCCGAGAATGTATTCATTCTTTCTATGAACATGCTGGGTGAGTAATTTATACACAAAAAGGTGCACAGAAAAAATACTAATAAGAGAGGTTGTTATTTGAGTGCTTGAGACAACAAGCAGATTACATATTTTTGTGTGTTTGTTAATGTTGTTATTTTTGTGAAATGTTGACAATTCAAAGCAGTATCTGCTGCATTGAAGTTTTTTTTCTTATAGATAAAAACATTGGAATTTACATCGATGTATCAGCAAGTGACTTAGTCAAATTCCCCTTATCCAATGTTGAACACTTCAGGGTTGGAAATGAACTTTCTCTCCTTTCTGCCACTGGGACTGGTGGATTCAAAAATCACTTTTTTTTTTAGTGCAGAAAATACTGACAATCTCTTTGTCTAGCTCCTAAACAGTTTATTATTTTGAGGCTGGTAAGAGTTAAAAGAGCTAAATTAATTGTAGAGTTGCAACCATGTCCTCAGAGGCTAACTCATTTAGCTGATCTAGCTGCAAATGAACCTCGGCTGAAAGGCAGGATAACAAATGTGTTTTTCTATAAGCATGTGTTTTAAATCATTCTGTTACTTCACTTTTATTTATCAGCCACCGTGACTGGTAAGTTGAGCAAATTCGCCCCTTAAATGCAAAAAAACAAACACCCGTATGGCCTGTCAAGGGTGCTAATTTCCAACCCTGGAACATCTCTTCTTTCATTACAAACTTCTCTAAATGCTCCAGCCAAAAGTCTCATACGTAGTGTGTTGTGGTTTATTTGTGGTGAATAATACTTAGAGTTAGAAGTGTTCTCTGGCGCCAGTTTGCCTGCCAACATTTTTCAGTAAAGGTTTTGTGATAATCAAATTAATCTGCTGATATAATGAATATAAAGTTCTGTATCAAAGACGTTATTTCTTTTATTTCATGTTTTTTCTGTCTTTCTTTTAAGTTATGCAAACCAAGTGGAGTTCCATCCCAGTGGAACATGCATCGCTGCAGCCAGTACTGACAACTCTGTAAAGGTGTGGGACATCAGATCCCACAAGATGCTGCAGCACTACCAAGGTAACACCTCAAAACATTATATAACAGAACAATACAGCAAAACCATTCATTCACAACACATTGAGTTTTATTACCAAGTGTTTTAACACCTGAAAACAACAAACGCTGCACTTTTTATTTGTTCAGGCTGTCAGATTTTGCATTCTTCATTTAGTGAGGCTGCAGCTAATGTAGACTTTATTAAATACTACAAGAAAAATGAATTATTGATGAACAAATATTTGGCAATTGCTCTACTGCGTGGACATCTACTTTATTATTCAGAGGCTTTACCTCAAATGCAGCAAATAAAACACAGCTCAAGGGAGGAACTGAGAGGTATTAGTGTATTTAAACATGTCATGGCGTTTTGCGGCCAGCAGAGGGAGCATGTTACTTGTCCTATGTGTGCCATCCTGATGTTGCTTAAACTAAGAACCCATTCACCTCATTGAAGAATAGTTTGGGGAAGTTTTGATTACTTGCCATGAGCTGCTATATTAGATGTTATAATATGTACACCTGATGTTGAGCCCTATTCAAGTTACACAGCAACTGAAGCATGGGATTATTTACAGCTGCAGAGCTCCTCAGTGGGATCCAGGCAACATGTTTGTGAGCATCTCTCCAGCTGGGGTGTCCTTCAGCAAAGTGCTGAACCTTTTATTGTTCTGTAGGTGTCGGTTTATGACTGACCAAGTCCTCTGACGTCAAGTTTAGGGATACAAATGATTACTATAAACACATGGATGATTAACATCATTTTTGGGGGGTCTTCTGATATTTATAATATACAGTATTATTATGTCTCAGCTGCAAAAGAAAGTTGTAGCAGTATCTCCTCCATAACTATATCTTTAAATAGGAACTTTTTCGTTTTTTGTCAGTGTTGGTGCCCCCTGCAGACAAAGTGGTGCATCTTATCTATTTGTTGATTTTGTCCTGTACATATAAGTAGTGTAAGTGGCTGTTACTTCAGCGTGCTGAAAAGCATCTTGTCTGAGACCTACCCTGCGGTTACAGGCTTTTAAAAAAAAAATACAATATTTAAATACCTCATAGTGTCCCTGATGGTCTGTTTTGTACGACGGAGTATTAGGGCCACGTTAAAGAAATACGAAAATCTAAAATTTTGAGATAGTCCTAAATTTACGAGATTAATGTCGGAAATTTACTAGAATAAAGTCATTATTTTAGTCTATATCAGAAGAGCAGCAGCAGCCTGTTCGAAAATGACAAGCGTGGAGCATCTTGTTATACTTTAGTAAAGGGTTCACAAATAAGGAAGAAGGCCACTTCCTTGTGTAGTCTGTAAAAAAACAGTTAGTTCAAGAGAAGTTTTCACTTCAACTTTCAAGGACTTGTTTATCTGTAAAATGATGAACAGGACACAAAGTGGCTCTGCACATGAGACACTTTAACAAGGCGGACAGATAACTGACAACAATATCCGATAGTTGTGTTGTGGCTTTACTTTTGCAGATATGAAACTACACACTTAGAGGAAGTTATGTCTGCAGAAGAAAAGGCTTTAAGAGTTCTCCTTTCATCATTTTCACGTAGGCTGGTCTCAAACTCGTAAATTTACGACTTTATTCTCATAATTTACGAGATTATTCTCGTAAATGTATGACTATATTCTCGTAATTTTACGGCTTTAAACTCGTAAATATTTACGAGAGTAAAGTCCAGAGATTAATCTCGTAAATTTAGATGAATTTTTTTCTTTAACGTGGCCCTAATCCTCCATTTTAGGTTTGCTCTTATAGGTCATAAACATGAATCTGTATTAATTTCACAGCCATTTAAACAAGTCCTTAGAAAATCAGTGCTGTTTGAACTTTTTTTTTTCTTAGTTGTACAAGGTTGCACTTAAGTTTAAACGTGTCGTGTTTGTGTGTGTTTTCCAGTCCACAGTGGAGTCGTGAACAGCTTGTCTTTCCACCCTGATGGTAATTTCCTCATCACTGCGGCCAACGATTCCACAATGAAGATACTGGACCTTGTAGAGGGCAAGCTACTGTACACACTGCACGGCCACCAGGTCAGAGGCACACACACGCAAACACACGCAAACACACACACCTTGATAAATGAATACCATTCAGGCCTCTTACAGGCCTGACACTGCAGTGTTGTAAGTCATGATCAGGATGGGTCGTGTCTGTATTTCTGTGTTTGTATTCGTGAGGGTTTGGTGTGGACAGTTATGTGTTTGTGTGTTTGACATCTTCTTTGTGGTTGTTTGATTGTCTGAAGTGTGTGTGTGTGTGTGTGTGTGTGTGTGTGTGTGTGTGTGTGTGTGTGTGTGTGTGTGTGTGTGTGTGTGTGTGTGTGTGTGTGTGTGTGTGTGTGTGTGTGTGTGTGTGTGTGTGTGTGTGTGTGTGTGTGTGTGTGTGTGTGTGTGTGTGTGTGTGTCCTTTTTTTGTACATGGTGTATTTTAGTACTTGCCAGGCGAGCAGGCAGCCCACTCATAATGACTCATCTCAGGGTTGTTGGAAGGAAACTGAACAGTTTTTCTGCCTCCATTCCTCTTCTTCTCTTCCTCCTCCTCTCTATTTCCGTCCTGTCCTTTTTTTTTTTTCTTCTACAACTTTAACCCACTTCTCCGCTGTGTTTCGAGGGATGTTTTAGCAACACCAGTCTTAATTATCTTCCTTGTTTTCTTCGTCGTCTGCCCTAATTTTCTCCCACTGCCACCCTTGTTTTTTCCAGCCCTTAATGCCCTCACATTTTGGCTGGCTGGACGAGCTGGCTGGTCAGCTCTCTGACTGTATCTGTTTGTTTGAACAGCTGATGGACTGGCTTGCTGGCTAGTTGTGGAAATCATTGGCTTGCCAGTACCACACGTGGTCCGTCTGTTTATCTATCCCTCTGTACAAGTAGCCTTCCTTTTATCCTCTTCTTTCCCCCCGTGTTACCTGTGCCTCTCTTAGAGTTCTTTCCAAGACTCTTTTCTTTGTCATAAAAAAAATTGCTTTTCCCTGTTCTCTCTTCACACCTCCAAATTTGTCATCTCCTGCACTCTGTCTCTGTTTCTGTTGTTGTTCTTTTTGGCTCAGTAGTGACTCTACCAATCTGTTGGTGCTGAGAGTGCTCAAGGTGTTAATTGTCTCTCCAGTCGCATAGTTAGCTATGGGAGAGACCCCCATCTGTTCGTTGTGGGTGTGTAGGTGTATTTGTGTTTGTGTCTGCTTGACTCTGTTCATGTACAGTACGGGTAAATGGATGAGGGGCTCTGAGGGAGTGTTTTTCTTCTGTTGGATCTGACAAATGCGTTGTTTACCTCGCCTCGGGGGAACCATACCTGGCTGGGTTGAATCAGTCTAATTTAGGTTAATTTGTCTCTCTGCTCCCATGTCTGACAACTGATTTCACAGAGTGATACACAACTTTGTATGAAGAAAGTTTCCAGCTCTGTAAACAAAAGAAATTGGCTTTCATCTCTTAACTTCTCTGCGCAGCTGTCCAACTTATCTCGAGATCTTCTTTCTTTCTTTATCCAGCTGTCAGCTTCTACTCTGCCCATTAACTTCTGTTCACATTACCCTCATTCATGACATTAAAGCCAGCGTGAGGCGTCATGAAGCAAATAACGCTGCATTTATTTTAAAACAATCACAATAGACAGGATGACGATATGTTGCCATCAATATTTTGTCCCAACCCTATGTAGAAAGCAATATTGTTGATTTAGCTTGTTTTACTTTGAAGTCTGAAGTTGCATGTTATCTAAAATTACACACCGGGCAATAATATGGCAGCGTTCAGTGTAAAAACCACCCTAACACTCAGAGTCTCAGTATGATTATTATTAATCTTTTTTTTTTTGGTAAAATGATAGTTGTTTTCTGTATAAGACCATTTGGACAGTGCCACATGCTTTCTTTAGTCTTAAGTGACTGGATGAGCTGGTCACCTGCACATGAACGGCACAAAATAACATGTTGAAAAGACTCTGAAACGTCATTCACATGTAATGTAAAGAAGCAAATCTGAATGTGTTCAATTATAAATGAGGAATGTAAATATGAGGACCAATTTCATTAAAAAAATAAAATAAAATCTGTTATTGCAATGTCTACAGGACTTTGTTTCTACTCCTGACCTTTCTTTCTTAGGTGTTTTTTTCAAAAGGTTTAATCACTATTTTTGTATCATTAGCAGAAACAAGAACCACCGTTATGAAGCAACCCGATGTAGCATGTTTTTAAATGCTCTCAGAGGTGTATTAAAATGAATAACAGTGTACAGATGAAAGCCAGAAGAATCATGTAATCATATTTAGTTAGTCATAACTCCATGGCGAGCACCATGTGGGGCCTGTCTGGTTTCTCTAACCTCAGTACATTACCTACCTATACATAAAATGTGCCAGTTAGGTCCATTGCCCTGTCAGCCTCTCTCTCTCTCTCTCTCTCTCTCTCTCTCTCTCTCTCTCTCTCTCTCTCTCTCTCTCTCTCTCTCTCTCTCTCTCTCTCTGTGCGTGTGTCTTGCCATGGCAAGTGCCAGCCTGGCAGCAGGCATTAGTCAGAGCCGAGACAGAACACGCTGTCTGTCAGGCCGTCGCGTTGCCATAGTGACACTGTCTGCTTCTCTCAGGTGCTTCTGGGAAACCATTCCTCACCCAAACCAGCCTGTCTGGGTGCCAGCCGCAGGACACAGCAGCTCCTTTTTTCTCTCTCCATCAGCAGCCTCCCTGTGTGTTTCTTTTTCCTTTCCTTCTGTTTGTTCTCTCCTTCATCTTCTCTTTGAAAACAGTCAGAGGGCCCGGGCTCTAATCGTTGACCCCACTCTGCATTGTGAGGTGGAGAAGAAAAGAATAAACCAAGAGAGAGGGGTTATTTCGAGATATTTGTTTGAAGCTGGAAGCCTGTCTTTGCTCTAGGTTCATGAAAAAAAAAAACACTCTTTTCTACACACACAAAGCATACCAAAGTCCTGACTTCCTCAGGTGATTGTTTTTGGCTCTGACCACATGTGACCTCACCCCACCTGCTTCTCCGCTTTCTAGTATTGATTGCTCTGCTACTGCCCCTCACGTCCACCCCCTCCTGTACAAACATATGAGGGAGCTTCTCTTCAGAGTAAAGTTTGGTTTTCCTCTGAAGGTTGAAAGAGATTTCTTAAATCTATGAGCTGTAGACACAAAGAAAAAAACACTTAAACTCTCCAGCGTCTGTCCTGTAATTTAATGCAATATATAGCGATATCACTTCTAGAGGTAAGTATGTATTCTATTTTTCTTCTGTTCTGTTTAAACCCTTTAGTGTTTACTTCCTCCTACACCTTTATTTTAACACCTACACTCTCATTGCTGCCTTGCAGTTTAAAATCATTAGATTTTCCTAATATTCACCCTGACTGTGTGAAGAGTTTAGAAGTGAATGAATAAGCTGAATACAACATAGACCTCACCACCGTCGCATACAGTAGACTTTCTCTAACAATAATTTGAAGTCTTTATTAATAAGTCTATTTGTAGTTTCTTTTTAAATATTGAGAAATAATTTTGTGTAAAAAAAAAAAAGGTCATCCCAGTTTTCAAAGCTGAGTGTTGTGTGCTTCTCTAAACAGCAGCCGAAAAGAAAGACAGAAAAAAGGGCAACTAAAACAAATGCAAATCCTAATTCTTCATCTTTGTGTCTCTTCAGGGTCCAGTGACCTGTGTGGCCTTCTCCAGGACAGGAGAGTACTTTGCCTCTGGTGGCTCTGATGAACAGGTGATGACTTATTCTTCTAACTTGGCCTAAAAAAAAGATGCATATGTATCAGATGAATTAGCATGCTGTTCATTGTTAGCCAAAGGTCAGCATCATGTTTGTCTCATACTGCTGAGAGTACTACCTTCAGGTGTGTTGACTTGTTATTTAAAGCAACAGTCAAGAGACCTAATTAAGAGAATGAAAAATAGAATATAAAACAGTTTTCGTGCTGCAAACAAGTTATTGTTCCCTCTTCAGGTGATGGTGTGGAAGAGCAACTTTGACTGTGCAGAATGCAGCGATGGTGTCAGACTACAGCATAAAACTACATCCAGCATTAAGACACCACCAACCAGTTCAACCTCTCAGCCCAACTTTGACTCACAGCCATCTGCGCTCCTCAGCCAGGTAAGTTCAGGAGGTTAGAGCACAATATGATAACCTGTAACTGTCTGGTTTCAGGCCCATATCATTATTTCCTCAGTTCTATTGAAACCACAGATATCTGATTTCTACAGAAGCTACAGTCTCTATTTTCACAACTAGAGAAAGTTGGGACCTATTGGGAAGTTTTACCAAAGCCTTGTTTCCACTGAGCAGTTCAGTTCAGTTTGGTTCAACAGTGCAGCTGAAACACACATTTCCTTTGGGTTGTCTTATGGTTAGGATAAAGTGCTATGAAAACTATAATTTAAACACAAACATCTTTGTACAGCACAAAAACACCTAATGAATAAAGATTGCACACATCAACATGCATGTGTGCTGATTAGACTGAGAAATGAACCCAAAGAAACACACACCCATCAGTAATTCATGTTGCCAGTGTGGCTGATTTATTTCCTGCCTGCACCTCCTTCCTTTGAAGTCTGCAGTTTTGCCCAAAGCTACATCCATATCTCACATTAAGGCAACTTATTCTGCAAACACATTTTGATACGCAGGATGTTTTTTTCTCCATGATTAATCTGTGCTCAACATACGACTACATCCTCAAATACGAACGACCATGGAGATATTTCTCACAGGTGATTCTAAATGATAACAAAAGATCAAATGTCAGTGTCTTTATACTAAACATTTGTGACTTTTTCTCAATGTCATTGAAGTACACGTGACACTACACTTTCCTGATAGTAACTGTGTTTATTCTATTTGACAACAGAGATGACTCAGTCATCTTAAGACTCAATAAATGCCAAAATCAGTTATACTTACAGACATGATACAAATCAGGCCTTCCAGGCTGGGAAGCCTAATAGAACTTCATTCTCTGTTTCCAGTTGTCTTTAGAGTCTCTGTTTGCGATGATTGCACCGCTCCCTTTCTAGCTACTGTGTATATCTTCTAATAGAAAAAATATAATAGAGCCGAGAGTGATTGTGCAAATTCAAATACTTAGGTTAAACTTTAAAAAAATAACAGTTTCTACTTAATGGGGTTCAGTTTTTTTTATCTGGCCAAGGCCTGATAACTAATGACTAGAGAGTGACTTATGTTCATGTATTATTTTACATAGGAAGGAATGAGTCATCCAAAATATCAGCATCTAATTTAGCCCATCTGAACAGTGCTTGCCTCACAACCTTTAGCTCCCCCCTAGCTGAGCCCCCCCCCCCCCCCCCCCCCCCCCCCCCCCCGGACCCACGTGAAAGAAATACTGAAACATTTCTGTAAAAGATTAACATAAAATCAAATTATTTTTATTATAATCTAAATTATAATTGTGGCTGACTTAGTAGCTGGATCATTCTGAGTGAGAAGTGTTTATTTAACACAGTTTTATTTACAGACCTTTGAATAAACTATCAGTGACTGTTTAATCATATGTGCAAATCTAATAAAACTAGAGAAGGATACTGTTTATACACAATCTGTGTGGTTCAGTAATTTTCATTGTAAGGTAATTAATAGATTTTTAGATTGATTTTCCCACCAATTAATCACTCAAACCATGTCAGCAAATTGTCACAAAAATGCTGATCACAGTTTCCACGAGTCCAAGGTGACATTTTTTCGAACTTGCCAAAACTCTAGTAACCAGTAAAACATCCAGGTGACCATGATGCTTAAAAGTAACAACCATCAAATCCACCAGTTGTTCAGGTGGAACCAACCAATATTTAACCTTTTAGCTTGATTATGACTCAAATGATCACTTCATTATACAAACAATATGTGAGAGCGATAGAAAATAATAGAAATGACTTTATTGTCTATCCTTTGCATGCAAAGGGAAGTAAATGTGTCTTTTGGTTGCACAGTGCACAATAAAAACACAACAAATCACAGTTAATACAAGATCAGGTCAGACCATCAGGTTTGAAAACATAAAGGATTTGAGACAAACAAAGTGAGGAATGATTAATTATTTAAAGAGCTTGTCTCACACACACACACACACACACACACACACACACACACACACACACACAGAGGACAGGGTGTCATAGCCTGGATCAACCTCAGGGAAGGTTATTTGATTTCAACCTCTTTGACTGCTACAGTGTTACTTACATCAACAAGGGCACAGCCAAGGTCCCCCCCCCCAATATCTCACAGACACACAAACAGCGTCTCTTCTTTCTGTTATTGATCTCCCTGGTATAAGTTAAGATCCGCCCACAGTGATGCTGTCTTCTCTTTACTCTCTATTGGAAAACTAGAATAGCCCAGAACTCTTAATAAACAATGTAGACAAGTAGAAAAAATGGCCAGTGTGTAAAATTAAACTTGTACCATGAATACAAAGTTACAAACACCATATAAACAAGGACAGAGTAATTAGACAAAAAAAAGTATTTGTAATCAAAGGCTTAGCAGAATCAGGCATGTAGAGGTGATTCTTTTTCTCACCTTCACATTTGCTTGAATCATGTAACTATAAATCTTTTAATGTCCCTCAAACACCAGCTTCTTTTATGCCAACCATCGACCCCTTCAGGCTCTTTTTTTCTTTGTCTCTGTCTGACTGTGTCTGTCTCTGCCGCTGCTGTGAAACACAATTGTAAATGGATTTTAATAGCTCTTCCACTCGACAGCCGTTATTACAGACATGCCTCAAAGGGCGATTAGAAAATGGGCAGTTGGGCCATGTGGAGAGATGTGATTAGTGCGTCGTGTGAAACGTATTCTCTTCTGAGAACTGCTCTTCTTGTAAAAACCCATTTCACTGGGAATCAAGTACAGCAGGAGTATATGTCACGTCTCCTTTATAATCAAAGCAGGCACCAGGCGGTTCAGATCTTGTGTTTGCTCCTTTCAGCATTAAAGGAAGAGAAAGGGAAAAAAAAACCTCAACATTTACAAGATACAGTGTGAATCTAGGGCACATGTTTTTGAAATCAATGGATTAGTGTTCTGTTTTTGGGGATCAGATTCTAAATGTAATATTGAAAAGCCTCTCAGAAAGGTTAGGCAGTATGTTTGTGTTGTAAATTAGGCTGACTCTTAGTGTTACAGTATTTAATCAAACCAGAATCCAGTTTAAAGCTCCTGTGAGGAACTTTTGCTTTGCATCTTCAGTGAACTGTTTAAAGCAGTACATTCATGGTGGTTGGTTTTCTGGTTAACCATGTCTCCATTATTTTCTTATGAAAGGAAAGTTGCAGCAGGAAGTGAAATTGTTTTCCTTTATTTACCTGTTTTAAGCAGTTAAATATTTATATAGTATATAGATATAGTTATTCAAATCTGAGATGAAAGGCGTGCTAAGATGGACTTTCAGTGAGGTTTGAACGTGTGGATTTAAAATAGGTTGTTGTTTGATGTTTATGTATTGCACCAAACTGTGCCTGTTCACTGACCTTGGCCCTTTATAATGATATTATCATGGGGGACATTTCAAAAAGATGCCATTCATAATAATGAGACCGGCTTTTGATACAAAGCAGTTCAACAGTATGATGAAACATTCAGATCCATGAGTTCATTGTGTAGAAAAACTGAGTGCAGTGTTAAATTCAAAGGTTTCATATTCTGGTAAATCATATTTGTGCACTAGTTGTGATGGTCAGATTTTCAAAGTATTAGTTTGGACTAATACAGACGTGAAGACAAGCTCTTATGGAGATTTAATTTTTTTTACTTTTGTTCTCTGCTTCATGTTTTGCATGTAATTAATGTTGTAGTTACCGTGAAAGCATTCTCTTCAGTGACAGACTTCATATCCACGACGATCACTCTGCTTGAATGAAAACATCAAGTCATAAAAAATGCATGAAAAGTTGACTTGCACAATAAAGGATACTCCTTTTCGATTTTATTTTTTTTATCTTCACACACTAATTCATTCTTGCTTATGATTAATAAATATTTGGACTGGTATAATTATTATTCAGATTATGTTCTTGTAATACGTGTTTATTTTGGCATAATAAATCACTAATACACAAACACACACTGACTTCATTGAGCTCCTTCAAGGTTCAAGGTTGTTTCTTCCTACCTTTTCAATGTAGAGTTCTCCATCACTTGTTTCACTTTAAGTAATGCTAGTTACTGCACCTGGAAGCACTAGCTTCCTAGATTTTCCCTTTCATGTATAATTTAGCCATTCATAATTTATTATTAATACAGGCAGCCTTTCATCTCTCATAAACTGCCGAGAGTCTCGCACACGTGTTGCCTGAGGAGGCAGAGAGGGGAAAGCTGCCACCAGCTTCTCTTCTTAATGTGTTCGTTTTCTTCTCTCTCCGAAAGATTATTCTAAGGCTTTGTGAGTTTGAAAGGAGAGTATAAAACAGAGAGAGGGCTGGATGGAAGACAGGATAAGTGGATCTGATGTGCAGTTATAAATTGTCTTATTTTCTGAGAAGAAGAATGCATCTAACAGGATGAAAGGACTTTCATTGGCTGCTGTCGCTCACATTTACAAACGCTAGATTTAAAACTTATATTTCAAAACACTTGTCAACCATGGAAAAACAAACAACCATGCATATTTATGATTAACTCCTGCCTAACTTAACTTATGAGAGCATCTTTTGTACAGTGAGAGGTGTTCTTAATGGCTCTACGACGTGTTGAGACGCGGTCCAAAGTGACATGTTCACATGTTTGTTGTATCTTTTATAAACACTGAGAAGTACGTGCAAGGAAACAAACAACCATTGTTAAATGTTAGGAACAAAAGCAGAAATAGAAATATGTAGGCTATATATTGTTAACTGTAAGTATTAATACTATTTATCCAGGGACACTAATGAGACTTGAATCACAATAGAGAACTTTTTGTGAAGGTTTCTAGTCGTCCAGGCCATAATAAGTCTAAGGGTGATCCAAGCGGCTTTGGATGAGCAGTAAAATATCTTCAAGAACTTAAAGTCCAGTTTCCTTAAAGATCCAACGTTGAAATAGAAAGCAGACAATAAGTTCAACCTGACGAATAAGTATTATTGTAATTGTCA